ATATATACCTAATAATTAAAGCAATAAAATACATAATACATATTTTTGAAATTTGTTATCTATATTTTATATTATTGTTTTTCCGAATAATGATTTTATAATTGATAACATATTTTATTGATTTTATTCTAGACAATGTAAAACAAAACGTAATAAATACTTAACAATATTTTTTTTCTCATAAGCGACAACACTGTAAATTAGAAACCACTTTTGCATCAGCTTGTTACTCAGAACGATATAGGGAACGGCTTCTCTATATTACTCTATGATCATAATTTATCTACTGCACAGGGGCAGTACTTTTCTGTAACGATTTGTCGTCGATGTACAATCAATTTGTAACAATAGAATAAGATAACAAATAATAAAACACGATTCAATAACGGAGACAGTTTTTTATTATTCATTTTTAGGAAAGGTGYGCTAATCCATGTGTACACTGATAAACGGTCCTTGAACGACGGGTCATTCATTATCGATAAATAGTGATCGATCAATAATATTATAGGGGGCCCTTGTAGGGGAACATCGTTTTTGTATTTAACATGCACTCTAGTGGTATCCCCTCCTAATAGTTCATAAACATCACTTACTACAGTCTTTGTATGCAGCTAAAGCGAATTTTCTAAAACAATCGACGAGTTAGAAACCGTTATTCAAGAGGAAAAGGATAAGACGTCTCTACAACTAACAAGCGGTACGCATACAACCATAATCATAATATTAAGTACGGTGTTAGCAATATTAGTAATATATAATTTATTCAAAATCTATTTAAATAGGCGTAGGTACTTTAGGCATAGGGCAATACCTAGAATAGAGGTAACTTCATTATAAATTTAAAAAAAAAAAAAAAGAGAGAGAATATGGTTACAGTAAGGGATCTTGTTCTTTTCATGGAACAATTACGAATGGTATTGTATGAGGCAGCACATGAAGTAAACAGTAATCGGAGGGGCAGAATTCCATCATGTTTAAGAGTTCACATCATGGAGGCCAACAGAAATGTTGGATACCCCATGAATCACATACAAATAGGCGTAATGCACACATTCTAGAAACATTCATAGAATGGAGGTTTGAGGAGGACGGACACGAGCATGTAATGCCCTGTCTAGTAGTGTTCGATTCATTACAATCGGGCACAGAAATATTAGATACTATTACGATGTTACTATATAATGTACTAACATAGTAACACTATGTTTATTTTCTGTTTAAATAGTGATAAAAATATGTAATAATATATGTATGTTGAAAAAAAAAAWATATATATATATATTTTCGTGTTACTAACATAACTTAAAGGAAATAATTGTATCACCAGAGTAATGAAATCATAATGTAAAGTATGAGTTACTGAAAATTATTCGAAAAAAATTACAGTCGAAGTCTTATTTATCATAAGCCCTCGTTTTATGGGGGAGGTGTTGAGATAGCTGCATGCAACGTGTGCGAACGAGCACGTACATTTGTCTTACACGTCAAGTACGTGAGGTAGTATCTTAATCACTAATTAATAATTACAAGGAAAAGTTGATTTCTAAAACTATTGAAGTATTAGGATGAATACTTWAAAAGAGACCTTGTATGACACAATAAGATCCGGCTGGTGTATCATATATAAGGGTACTYTACAAGCAATCACTTACACTATTTTTGTATGACGACTAGTTGACGGTACTCATGCTAAAATAATTGTCTTAAGTTGTAATCGTTACTCTGAGTGTTTAAAAGTGTTAAATACTAACCAAGTTAAATA